TGATATACCTTACAATAAGGCATAGAAAACATTAAGTGCCAAGATTCATTAACTTAAATGTGCAGCAAGTCAGTTAACGAAAGATATTAAAGAAACAAAAACTAGTAAAAAAGAAAAATAGATAATGTGTAACATTTGAGAAACATTCTAGAACAATGTTTCTCAAAATTTTACTGTGTATCAGAATCACTTGGAAGACTTTCTTTTGTTGTGGTTGTTGTTGCTGTTTTTTGTTTTTTTGAATCAGAGCCTTACTATGGCTCTGATTCAAACTCAGGCTGGGCTCAAACTCAGAGCAATCCTGCCTTGGCCTCCTAAATCAAGGGATTACAGGCATATGCCACCATGCCCAGAAGGTAAAGACTTCTTAAAAACACATTGCTGGCCTTCATCCCTAGAACTTTTGATTCAGTACAAGGGCCTAGGAATTTGCATTGCTAATTAAATTAACAGGTAATACTGAGGTTCCTGGGAACCTCAGTGACCTGGAATAGTGATTCACAAGTTTTGGTTTTTTTTAATCAGTACCAGGGATCGAACTCACGACCCTGAGGGCAGGTGCTTATGCCACTGAGCTAAATCCCCAGCCACCAAGTTTTTTTTTTTTTAAAGGACAAGAAACATCTCACGTTTGTCAGCCATATTACTCTATTCAACTCCACTATGTGTAAGGTAGAACAAGCATGGCACTAGGTATATTAATGAGCATGATCATATTCCAACAGAACTTTACTTATAAAAAGCAAACAGCAGAGTTCGATCCCCGGTACCGATAAAAAGGAAAAAGACAAAAAAAAAAGGGGGGGCTGGAGGTTTAGCTCAGTGGCATAAGCGCCTGCCTTGCAAGCAGGCAGTCGTGAGTTCGATCCCCGGTACCGATAAAAAGGAAAAAGACAAAAAAAAAAAAAAAAAAAAAAAAAGCAAACAGCCACAGAACAGGTGCCTTATTTAAAATATACTCTCAACTGAGATATACTGCCTAGGTATACTGCCTACCCTACCCGTGAGACAGAACACAGTACAGAACTAGGGACTGTATGCCACACATACTAACCACTATCTACTTCTGATGAAAAGCAAAGATTTGGAAGTTTGACTCTGAACGAGCTAACTGATGTCTGCAGAAATCTGAGATTTTGAACTGGGCATGCCTATAATCCCCAGCACTCAGGAGGCTGAGACAGGAGAAATGCTAAGTTGGGACAACCTGGGCTACATAGTGAGTTCAAGGCCAGCCCAAACTATGCAGGGAGGCGGTGTCTCAATAAATAAATAAATCCAGAAATCTGAGATCTCAACAAAATAAAAACAAAAACACCTAACCATATTCCGAACACCTGACAATAGATTCAGCAAAGGCAGCGGGTTAATTAAATTCTGCTCACATTGAGTCCAACAGAGCAAACATCAGCTGTATATAGTTCACAAGTAAATTTGAATGTATAGATCAATACTGAGTGTTAGACAAAAAAGGGGGGGGGCTGGGGATTTAGCTCAGCGCCATAAGCACTTGCCTTGCAAGTAGGCAGTCGCGGGTTCGATCCCTGGTACCGATAAAAACGAAAAAGACAAAAAGAAAAAAAAAAATACTGAGTGTTATACAAAAAAAAAATTTTTTTCAGACTCTTTTTTCCAGCCAATGTTAAATAGCAAAACATGATATTTAGTCAGTTAGCTGAACTATGATATTTTCTTCAACTTTTCAGGCATAAGTTATTCAATTAAAAACATGAGATACTGTGCTCTCTTTTGCAGGGGCTTGATCTAACTCTGTAGACTGTACTTTTCCCACTTTACTTGGTTCAAACTTGTTCTCCAGAGCCTGCTTCTTTTCCTAACTTTAATAAAACTGCTACCATTAAGAACAAAAAACATGACATTACAGGCAATTTCAGTTTTTACGAACTACTTTTTGCTGTATGTTCAATAATCTTACAATACTGATTAAATGATTTTGCCCCTGTCTTCCAATCTGCACCCTAACAGCTGCTAGTGCATGAAAATTTAAACAAGAAGGAAACAATTTGTATACAAGTGCCAAAGCTTCATGCCAGAAATTTATCCTTTCATTCCCTCATTTGTTCCCCAGCAACGTATTACAACTTCCTTCACCATTTCAGTCTACAATTTCTTAGCAGACTGATTAAATTGAATAGAACTATGCTATTTCCTCAAAAGCTATACTAACAGCACTGAGCTGTAAGAATTCCGTCTACTTCAAGCATCTTTCGTATATTCCACTAAGGAACATCTGCCTCAACTTATCTATCCTTGCCCACACTTACTAACCTTCTGCCTATCTTCTTTTAAAACATCTTCCTATCTTCTCAGTCCAACTCCTTGCCTGAATCCTCAGCAACTTCAAGCTTCAAGGCTTACATGACACCCTTATTACTGAACAGAATCACTAATCTTGACTTCAACCTACAAGACCTACTTGCCTTTCTCTGAACACATCTTGAACATCAGCTCACTAAATATTCTATCTAAACTAGACCTTCAAAGTATTATTTGCTGCTTATAGAGCTTCTGTAGAAATAGGCAAAATAATTTTTTTGTTTGTTTTTAGTTTGTTTTGTGATGTTGGGTATCAAGCTCAGGGCCTCACAAAAGATAGGCAAGTGCTCTATCACTGATCTTCATATCTGTAAACCTTTCCTGATTTCTTTTTAATTTTAAAATAAGGTCTAAGTTACTCAGACTGGCCTTGAACTTATGATGCTACCACATGAGAATTAAATTTTTTATTTTTTGGCCTGAAATAGACGTCTGAGAAACATAGGCTTACTTAGTAGACCTAAACAACTGCAGAGCCCCAAGGACAAAACAGTTTTATGAGATGACACCTTCACTGTTTTTTGGGCTGCTGTAAACGTGAAAATGTTATTCCGAGCTCAAAATGTAAAATAAGAAAAAAATTTAATTCATTTATGCAGATGCTATTAGCTTTCAGTGTTTTAGAAGTGCCTGGAACTATTATAAAATCAGAAACTACTGTTTGATCTGAATTTTCCTAGTCTTTCTTTTTTTCTCTCTCTCTTTTTAAAACAGGGTCTCACTATGCACTATGTGACCTCCAACTCACAGCAATCCTCCTGCTTCAGCCTCCTGAGTGCAGGGATTACAGGCATGTATCATCATGCCTGGCTAAAATTTCTCTGGTTCAAGAACTTTCAAACTCTAAACTGATATATTCCATTACTATGTCAAAAATGTGAACTTTTACATTAATGGCCATGCTTCCTTCATCTAAAATGAATGATACAAGTAAAATAAAACAATGACTTATAACTGACCAAGAAATAAATAAGGTGGGCTGGGGATTTAGCTCAGGGGCATAAGTGCCTGCTTTGCAAGCATGTAGTCCTGAGTTCAATCCCCAGTACCAAAAAAAAAAAAAGAAAGAAAGAAATAAGGTTACTGGGGGCTGGAGACTTAGCTCAGTGGCATAAGCACCTGCCTTGCAAGCAGGCAGTCGTGAGTTCAATCCCCGGTACCGATAAAAAAGAAAAAGACAAAAAAAGAAGGTTATTATGTTAATGACAGAAAATTAAGAGAAAGCTCATTTAATGTTGATGACAAGTCAGGGAACACAGGTTACATAGTAAAGATGATTCTATAAAGAGAAGAAAGGACAACCATTTATACAAGGCCTGGGTTCAATGCCCAGCAGCACGAGAGAGAGAGAGAGAGAGAGAGAGAGAGAGAGAGAGAGAGAGAGAGAGAGAGAGAGCGCGAGCGCGCGCGAGCGCGCACAGAGAGGGAATGAGAGAGAGAAAGAGAGAGACAGAGGAGAAGAGAGAGAGAGAGAAATGCTTCAATCTCTGATACAGTAATTTTGCAAGAAGGCAGTGATGGTATAAGGTAGGTATTACTAAACTATCAAGAACAGTAAGTTACTTTTTGAACTTATTTTCCTAGGCATCTCCTGCATATCCTTTCAATTTTGTAGTGCATAAACTATCAGGAACAATATAAATGATCAGCAGGACTTTGTTTATAGCCTTTTTTTTTTTTTTTTTTTTTGATACTAGGACTGGAACACAGTATCTTGCACCTACCAGACAGGCACTGTGCTGCTGAGCTATTCCCAGCCTGATAGCCTCTATTAATCACAGAAATGTATCAAACATTTTAGTATTACCATTAAAAACAGCTAAAATCACCTGAAAGTTTTAACTTGCCAAAACTCATCCCTATTGACAATTGATGGTGCTACGAGATTCTCTACTATAGTCTACCTTAGTTTGAAGGCACACTATCATTGGTTGCCTGTTTTATACTCAAGAGATGATCTCTGCTCCCATCCAAAGCAATTAAAAGATATGAACCCTTAGGGCAACCTTCTGTAAAGCCCCTATCTCAAATTTAGGAAATTATTTAAACCCATTATTTTGTTTCATTCCTAATCCCTAGACCTTCCCAGACTCTTCTGAGATCAAGACCAGAGGCTTCTTATAACCAAGCCATATCTTGGCAAAAGGGCTTTCACTAAAAACATCCTTGGAATTAATCTAAACCAGTCAAAATGATCAGTATGAGGGCTCTTGATTTTTCCTGTGTGGCTCCTCCCTACTATTAAACAAAATATGTTGGGGGGGGGGGACCTCTCCTGCTTTACTAATGCTAATAACTAAAACAAAAGGTATTTATAAAATGCAATGAACTTTAAACTCAAGATAAACTATTACTAATTAACATCTACTTATAGTTCCTCCCTTTAAAAAACTCTTTACTTTTCAACATTTTTTTAGTATAATAGGAAATTTAGTTTCCTATAACAAATTACAGATTTAACTTGAGGCAAAAAAGGTTAAGTGACTTACCCAAGGTTACAATTAGAGACCAGGTCTCCTGAGTCTCAGCCCAGTGCTCTTTCCTTAGCCCAAGATGCCTTATTAGAAAAATCCAAATACAGTCAGACCCCCAGTTACATGGGTATGAGTTACACTGATTCACATATACAAACTTTATATAGTGTGACCAATGTTTCAACTCACGCGGTACCCTGCTTCCATTTATGCAGTATGCCAGGCATCGGCACGATTTTCAGTGGCACACAGGCGGTTGCCACCACCAGGGCCCTAGGCAAAATTGCAAAGAAGGCAAAGTTTGTCTTTGGCCCTCCCACCTCCCTTATGCATTCCTCTCCCACCTCCTAATCGCACCCCTGCCCAACCACCCAGCACCACCATGCTGCCCTCCGACTGGTAAAGCCCCCCAACTTGTACCACTCACCAAGTCCTGTCACTCTGGATGTGCCCAGTGATCCCAAATTACCTCTCCCTGTCACTAAAATTTCTATTCCTCAAGATTCCAGTGAAACTTACTGATTTAAGTAACTCAAGAATAAGATACAACAGATTTATACCTCCAAGGACTTTATAAAGACACTAATTAAAAATCATTGGAAAGGAAGGGAAAAAGAAATGTGGAAAAGTAAGCAACATGTTCCCAGAGCACAGGACTCATACGTTATTTCAGGTCAGACAGAACACTAAATATTGAGAGTGCTACTGTCACCTTGAGCTCCACTACCCAAAAGCAGGGTAGTCACTTTATAGTTAGTCTCTCAGATTAAAAATAAATCAAAGCTGCCTGAAATGCCCTCCTGCCTACCTTTTCCATCTCTCCCACCTCCTGGATCCCCATTTCCACTTTTTAGTGCCAAAGACACCCAACAGCAACCCCATAAGCTGTTCCTGTCCAATACAAGGCTTCCTGTTATATGGTTTCAAATTACATGGTGTTATCCAGTGATATGTCCAAGTTCCCCTATCCCTGGGTAACTTGAAGTGGACTGCTAAAAAAGAATAATCCTATTTAAAGATTCTGAATTTTAAATTCAAATACATAAATTCATTAAATATCTAGCAAGACGGAAAAGAATAATACTGAATCTTATGTACAATTTAGGTATCTTAAAAAACATTCTTTTCCTTGAAAGTGGTACATTTCTTACGTCTGACCCAACACAGCAGTGAAAATCTAGTCATTTCACTTAAATTTCACTTAAATACAGTGGGGGGGGGGGTTAGTAAATTTGTGTTTATTCATAAATCTTCTAAGTCTGGAAGTTAAAAAAAATTCAGGAACATGGAGGCTGGCAATGGTGACTCAAGCCTGTAATCCCAGCATTTAGGAGGGTGAGGCAGGAGGACTGCCACGATTTAAGAGGCCAACCTGGACTATAAAGAGAGTTCCGGGCCAGCGTGAACCACAAAGCAAGACCTTGTCTCAAAAAAAAAAAAAAAAGCTCACAAAAAAACATAACAGAAATTTTAAAATGTAAATTTATTTGTATACAAAACAGAATGGATCTTAAGAAATCCAGCTTTCCACTAGGAATACACACACCAGAACATATATATCCATAATCAGTTGAGTTTTGCAATACTACATGATCTGTCTAGCCTGGAACTGTATCAGGTGATGGTTATCTTCATCATCATTACCCTTCCAGCAGTAAAAAGAAACACAGCCAGGCTTAGTGCCACGGGCCTGTAATCCTAGCACTCCTGAGGCTGAGGTAGAAGGATCACGGCAAGTTCAAAGCCAGCCCCTGAACTACATAGTGAGTTCAAGCCCAGCCTAGATTACATAGGAAGACCCTGTCTCAGAAAAAAACAAAAAAATGGAAATCCAATCCGCAGAAGATATCAAAAATGACACCGAAGATGAAAAGGACTGTGATTTCTGTAATTATTATAAAGATTGCTGAGTGTGGTGGCACATGGCTATAATCCCAGCATTTGGAAGGCTAAAGCAGAGGGACCATGGAGACCACTAAGAAGAGGTTGAGGCCAGCCTGGGGGTACATAGTGAGTTCAAGGCTGGCCTGAAGTACATGGCAAAGCCCTGTCTCAAAAAAGAAAAAGATGGATTATTCTGTTAAGATTCTAGATGAAGACCCTATCCAATATCCTCTTTTCATGTATAAACCATTCTCATCTAAACGTGAAAAATGATTAAGAGTTAAAAAGTTTCTCCACTGATCAACACCCTACTGGGAATTAAACCCAAGGCCTCTGCATTGAGCTATATCCCCAATCTTTGTTTTGTTTTGTTGAGACAGTCCAGCATTTGAAGTTGCTAACCTCCTGCTTCAGCCTCCTACAGTGCTGGGATTTAAGGCATGTACCCCCACACTCGGATGCCATTTTTAATATGTTAACTTTCAAGGTTTACTACACACATAAAACTCATTTTCTTCTCAACCTTTTCCCCCTCTCTATAGGACCAGAATGCCATCTACACCTATTTGTCTATATGCTCCCAAACACCCATGAAATGCCACTGTAAATATGCATTACTATAACACTGGAATGCAATAAAGTTCTTGTAACCTCACATATTTTGCTGCAGAGCAAATAATTATAAAAGCTTCTGTTACAAACTAAATTTAACTGTCTTCTCTAAACCAAGCAATTTAAATAACTTGTGAAGAAAAAAGGCATGTAAACGGCTAGGAAACTACTTGCCCAAACAAACAACATATAAAAACGTTGAAGGCTTTTGCTTAAGTACTGAACTAGGCCTTTCCTCCACATTGGAATGGGTTTAAGTCAAATTGAAAGAACACGTTGCGAATTATCATCATTAAAACAGAAACAGCATTTCATCATTTAAAAATTCTCTTTATGACAAAGGACAATCCAACATGTAGTGAGTGGCTTTCTATACCCCGTCTAACCTAACGGCCTAAAAAACTCTTTGTTTCCCTCAATTCTACTTCATTGGGCATCGAATTTCCAAAATGGTTCTATTTGGGGTACACGCAAGATTTGTCAATGTTTACTGAACAAAGCTTCTATTAAACTAACAAAATGGAGGTCTCTCGGAAAAACAGGCCATAACATTTTCTTTTCACAAAATGGGGCCAAACACACCCACTTCAAGAAACCATGGTTTGGGTCAGATTTTCCATAAAAATGGTTGATTCCGTGGGGCTTCATGGTGCATCTCCGGGACGGGGTTTGCAGTAAAGATTTCCTCCAGACCCAGGAAGGGGATGGGTGGGAGCTTTCTGAATACTCTGGAGGACCGCCGCAAGAGATGATCCCAAAGCTCCGGTTTAAGGAACTATATTGGGAAGAAGGCTTTAACGATTAGGTATCTTAAAGGGCGACAAAACGGGCCGCCCTACTACGCACGAGACTTGGGCTCTCCCATCCCAGCCAAGTCTACAGTAAAAGCACAAACTCTCCTTTCAACCCCTAGGCCCCGCCTCGCCCCATTGGCAGCAGTTCCCGCCAATCCGCACGGTCACCGCCCCCAAGCCCGCCTGCCAAACCCCGATTGGATGGGACAGGATCCGGGGACCTCGTGTTACCAATCTGGGAGCCCCTTACTCAACCGCTCGCGCGCGCCCAGTTGCGCCCTCGGACCCCTTCCGTCGTCGGCACCGTCCCCTCCCCCCCCAGGGCTCTGGCAGCGGCTTACCGTCCCGGGAGGTGCCCATCAACTGGTCCAGCATCGCACGCATCTGGGCCTGCGCCGACATGGCGGCGGCGTAGAGGGCGAACGGGCGGGGGTGGGGCGCAGACCAGGCCCTTTCGGGCGGGGGGATGAGGGGAAGGGGCAGGGGGAGGTGCGCTGCTGTCTCTGTGGCCGCCGCTGCCGCCGCCGCCGCTGCCGCTGCCTCGAGGCCTGAGGAAGGAGAGCCAGCGGGGTCGTGGGAGCGTCCTGGCTGCGCTCCTCACGACGACGTGTACGTGGAAGACGGCAACCCCCAAAAGCGACCCTCGTGCCTTCACTCTCCGTCCTCTTCCAGGGACAGAAGCGACACGGGCCAAGAAAGCTCTCGCCTCCAACACCGACACCCGCCAGAGGCCGTCAGCCCCCCCCTCGGCTCTGACGCCGCTCGCCACCACCGTCGCCGCGGCGGGGGCGCGCACGTTCCTCGCGTTGAGCGGTTTCCCGCGGGGGCTCCACCAACTGGCGTCCAACTGCCTTGGCTCCGCCTGCCCCGCCCGGAAAAGGTCCCGCCCTAACGGCTCGCGGGCGCGTGCACGCGTGTCTCCTGCCCCGCCCCCACCAGGGGAGGGTCTCGCGAGATTTTCGTTTCTCAACTGACTCTCGGGTTGCTTTGCCCTGAGGCGCCAAAACCCCGGCGGTTGGGGCTGTGCTGGGGATCTCAGTGGCTTTCAGCGCGCTCCGCTGGCGACCGCGGCCCCACTTGCGAAGTGTGCCAAAGGTTATCCCGGGGAAGGAAGTAGGCCAGCTCGGCCTGAGTGTGGCGCGGGTGTCTTCTCACTGGTGCTCGCCGTCGGACGGCTCTGGCAACCTCGGACCGCGCTGCGTGGCCACCGTGAGACGCGGCCACCACCATCCCTCCCCGTACGGGAGCTGCGCGAGCCCTGCCCCACCTTACGAGCCGGTCTCCCGCGGCGACGCCCCAAGCACCGGGCCACGTTGTGAGGACAGACTTTAGCCAGTCTTTGCTGGCATTTACAAAACTTGACAAAAGACGAAACTGGTCAACATGGGATGTGGGACCAGGTGTGGTGGCACTTTCACGTAATCCTAGCTCTCTAGGAGACTGAGGCAGGAGAAGCGCAAGTTCAAGGCTGGGCAATTTAGCGAAACCATATTATAATTTAAAAGAATGGGTTGTAGCTCAGAGGGAAAGCCCTACTAGGCAATAGTGCAAAAAAAAAAAAAAAAAAAAAAAAAAAAAGATACTTTCTAGACACTTTAAAGTAATGGCAAAAAGTTTTGCTACATCATACTTATAATGCACTGCCTCGGGGTTTGTCATTCCTGGCTAATGCAGGATCACAAATCAACTGGAGGATCTCCGGGGATGTGGTCAGTGGTAGAGTGCTTGCCTAGCATGTGTGAGATCCTGCGTTCAATCCAGCACTATCTAGATCGTGTTACATGCATATTGGATCAATAAAAGTATTAGTCTTATTTTCAATAACAGTTTTCTTCCAGTTATTTTTTCCCTTGTTATTTAGAGGGCTCAAAATTCTAACCAACTACAAATACTAGGTCTGTGAAAATTGAACTAGAATAGTACATAAACCTACTAATTACAGTATTATTGCAGGAGATGGTGTCACAGGCCTGTGGTCCCAGCTAGTCAAGAGGCTGAACACAAGAATGGCAAAGTTCAGATCAACCTAGGAATTTAGGGAGAGCTGGTCTCCAAAAATAAATAAAATAGAGCCAAGCATAGTGGCACATGCTTGTAATCCCAGCACTCCTTAGGTTGAGGCAGGAGGATTGCTGTAAGTTCCAGGCCAGCCTGGGCTACACAGCCAACCCTGTCTCGAAATTTTAAAAAAAGGATATGGTGAAATTTGGTGATAATCTACTCGCCTAGTATGTACGAGGCCCAGGGTTCACATCACCAATACTGCAAATACCCTGAAAGGATGCACTATTACATGCAGAATAGTATCCTGAAAAACTGTTCTTAAGGAAATATACTAAGGTGTTTGGATTTTTAAAAATTTTTTGTTTTTAAAATAGAGACTAGTAAAAAAAAAAATAAGAGACTAGTGGAAAGAATTATTGCAAAAGTGGCAGAAAGGAAGGAACTATTGCAGTAGGGTGTAGGAACTATTACAACAGAGAACCCTGATCATTTGGTCTGCAAACATCTTGAAAATTAACGTGTAGTTTTCCTTTTGCACACCATAAAAAAGCTAGAAAGTAATCAGTGTGGGCCATGGGTAGAGAGAAGGTTCCAGCTGATTACTGCGGGGATTTGGTATTGGGAACTGAACTCAGGACCTTTTGCTTGCCAGGCAGGTATTATGCCACTGAGCTATATCCCTGGTCCCCCAAAAGTTGTTTTAAAGATAAAAAGTCTTTCTCCGAGGCCTGGGGGTTTAGCTCAGCAGCTTAAGCACCTGCCTTGCAAGTGTGCGGTCATGAGTTTGATCCCTGGTACCGATAAAAAGGAAAAAGACGGGCTGGGGATTTAGCTCAGTGGCATAAGCACCTGCCTTGCAAGCAGGCAGTCGTGAGTTCGATCTCTGGTACCGATAAAAATGAAAAAGACAAAAAAAATTAAAAAAAAAAAAGTCTCCCATTCTGTACTCCGTTATTTCCCTTTCTGTACAGAAACTTTTGTTTCTTTGAGACAGGGTTTTGCCGTGTAGTTCAGGCTGTCCATGAACTCACTGTGTAGCCAGGACTGGCCTCGAACTCATGACAATCCTCCTGCTTCAGTCTCAAGTGTGCTGAGATCACAAGTGTACACTACCATCCCCAGTAGAAACATGTTAATTTGAGGTTGTTCTGTTTGTTGGTTCTTGCTGTTTCCTGCCCTGCTGGGATCTTATTCAGTCTTTATCTATGCCTGTGGCTTCACTTGGCCTCCTATCCGTGTTCTGGTGCAGACTCTTCAACTTTCTATTGCAGACCCTTTGGCCTGATACAGACTGGCATAGGACCCTCCTGTGTGCACTGGATCCTTTGGTTCTCCGGTACAAGGACAGACCTTTTGCATTCTTCCAACATCTGACTCTGTGGGCACCATTATAAACCAGTCTTGTAAATCCTTACATATTTGTATATTTTGCATTAAATCTTTTTCTCTGGTAAGCAGTGACAGATACAGTAGTCCATGCTGTCCTTGAACCTGTGATCCTCCTGTCTCAGCCTCCCACCTGCTGGGATTACAGACCTGCTCCATCATACTGGACTGTTACGACTTTCTTTAAAATCAAATTTGACGTGCAAGCAACACTCTGTGGCAGATTATCAAAATAGTCTGTCACAATTTGAGCTTGCTATAGCAAGAAAGTCTAACCTATTCCAGCACTCTCCTTTCTGTGAGACAAGCCGTTACATAGACTGAAACAAGTTAAAAAAAAATCAAATTTGACAGGCATAGTTGTACACACCTATAATCCCAGCATCTGGGAGGCTGAGGCAGGAGGATCACTGAGAGTTCAAGGCCAGAAAATCCTGTTTCAAAAAACAAAAAAGGGCTAGGGATACTGCCCAGGAGGTGTTGACATTGCTACCACCTCTGCTACCCTCATTCCCGCTGTCACTTCCATCATGCCGAAGCACAAGTTCTCTGTGGTGTGACCTACAAGGGCTGCACAGAGGCTGTGTCCTGCATCCTCAGCAAGTTGGGAGGAGTTTTCAACATTGACCTGCCCAGCAAGAAGGTCTGCATTGACTCTGAGCACAGCATGGACATTCTGTTGACAGCCCTGAACAAGATACGCAAGGCCATTTTCTACGTGGGCCCCAAGTGGCCCTCCAGGATAGACTGAAGCACACAGCCAGCTGACTTCCTGACAGACCTGGCACACTGCTTTCAGCTCAGCAATGGAGCCCTGTCCCTTCCTAGCATCCCTGCAATAAAGTTGAGCTGCTATTGTTGGAGGGAAAAAAAAAAAAGGCTGAGGATATAGCTCAGTGGCACAAACACCTGCCTGGCAAACACAAAGTTCCATTCCCAATACCAAAAACAACAAAAAACAAAACCAACCAACAAACAAAAAAGTGGACGTGTGCTACATTTACTTTTCTTGGTTTTCTTCTACACTTTGGGCTAGAATTTCTCACTACCTTATTAACTCATCAATGAGATATATTTAGGGTCCTTAACCCTCTAAAAAAGAATGAGAAGGGGCCTGGGTCACTGTCAAACACAGGCATTCACTGATGCTTGCTGAGCTGTGTGCAGAGGCATGGGATTCCCAGCTACTCAGGACGCTTAGGCTGAAAGATTGCCTGAGCCCAGGAGTTCAGAGCCGGCTGAGCATATAATGAGACCCTATCTATTAAAGGAAAGAAGGAGAAACAGTGAAACACTTAACCTGAGATTTTAAAGAATGGATAGTAACTAACCCGGTTGTAGGATAAGGTAGGTGGGAGAGCTTTATTTATGTTTCTTTGGTATTGCTGTGTATTTCAGGATTTCCATCTGGCCTCATACTTGCCTTAGTGTGGACCAGGGATTTAGCTCAGTGGCATAAGCATCTGCCTGGCAAGTATGAGGTCATGAGTTCAATCCCAGGAGTGTATATATATATATATATATATATATATATTTTTTTTTTTTTTTAAACTTGCATCAATCCTCTTGCCTCAGCATTTAGAGAGCTGGGATTACAGGTAGGCACTGTCCCGCTTGGCATACCATAGTTTTTAAGTGCATATAAGGATCAGCCAAACGTGGAGCTACGGCCTTGGCTCTTGAGAAGTGCCTTTATGTGTGGCTGGACTACAAGGGGAGAGAGAGGAGACTCGGGTTTAGCAGGATCAGATCCTGCACCCCTTGTTACAGCTGTCCTTGCAGCAGGTAGGAGAGTGACATGAGCAGGATGTGTAGAGTGTAAAATGAGACTGAGATAGGAGTTCAAAAAGCCAGTAAGGGCAGACAGTGCTTCAGGGAAGGGTTAAGCAGTCTAGACTTGGATAGTGTCAATAAAGATTCAAAGAGAGTTTAGGACATAGGCATCTGACATGGTGGTCCACACTTACAGTCCCAGCTACTTAGGAGGCAGAGGCAGGAAGACCGAAAATCAGGCAATTTAGTGAGACCTTTTCTCCAAAGACAAAAAGGTTACAGATTTACTGTATAGCTCCCTGGGTTCAATCCCCAGTTTCACCAAAACAAAAACAAACAAAAATAACAGGAGACTTTAGGAGGTGAGAACAAACAACTTAGTACTGTCTAAGAATACGAAGGAGACAAGAATCAAAAACAATTCACCCTGTGGGTATGGTGGCAAACACCTGTAATTCCAGCGCTCTGGGAGGCTGAAGCAGCAGGGCTGAAATCTGAGCCCAGATTTGGTAATTTACCAACTCTGTGTGATTCTGTCTTAAAATAAAAAAATACTAGGGCTGAGGATATAGCTAAGTGTAAAGACCCTGGTTCAATCCCTAGTATGAAAGGTACAAACAACAAAAACCTCAACGAGGCATGGTGGCACATGATGCTGATGCTCAGGCTGAAGCAGGAAGGTGGAAAATTTGAGTCCTGCCCTGATAATTTAGTGAAAGTGCATGTGACAATACTACAAAAGGGCTGAGGATGGAGCTCAGAAGTACAGCGTCCCTGGGTTCCACGCTCAGTACTGTACAGGGGTGGAGGAGAGGAAAACAGAAGAGTGATGTCCTCAGAGCCAAGAGAAGGAGGCAGCATGCTTTAGTGGCCTCACCTGCAGCCTGAGCTACCTGTCACAGCCTGAGCCACACCTGTCTCTGTGGAGTCCCAGAAGGATGGAACTGCGTGGGCAGGGCTGAGTGGAATAAGCAGGAAGCAGACTCAACAGTGTCAGCACTGGGCCAGGGCACTGTGCCCAGGACAAGGATCACAGGTCCATGGTGCATTTGGGTAAGACACAAGGTCAGGACCAACCGCCTTAGAGACAGCAGCAGGTCAGCCATGGCATGGATCCAGTGTGAGGAAGGGCTGACCTGTAAAAGGTATGGAAGGGCCCTGTGGGCTGAAAGGACTATTACACAGCTCTGATGGGGCAGCTGTCACACAGGTGTGTCTGTGTGTCAAAATTCATTGACCTGGCCACTTAGGATAGGTACCATGCCACATACACCTTGATGTGACTTATCCTGTTTTTAAAATATAGCAAATGAAGATGGCTGTGGTGACATGAGTTTGTAATTCCAGCTACTCAGGAGGCCAAAGCAGGAGCATCACAAGTTCAAGCCCATCCTGGCAATTAGCAAGACCCTTCTCATACTATAAAGAACAATAAAGGGGTTGGGGTGGAGCTGAGTGCAAAAACTCTGGTTTTAATCTCCAGTAGCACAAGAGGAAAAAAAAAATCAAATGAAGATAATGCACTCAAGTTGTTCAAAACATATCAGCTGGTGAAAAGAGAAGCCGGCAGTGGCAGAAAAGCATTTGAGATAGAGACAGAGCAGTTGTTCCTAGAAGGTACCTTGAGCGTATTTAATTGCTACCCAGAGAATCCAGAGAGGGAGCAGCTGAAGCTACAGGAAAAGAGGGTTAAAAAGATAGTAAAGAGGGGCCGAGGTTTAGCTCAGTGGCATAAGCACCTGCCTGGCAAGTGCAAAGTCATGAGTTTGATCCCTGGTGCCAAAAAAAAAAAAAAAAAAAAAAAAAAGACAGCAAAGAAAAGAATGTGACAAATCATGGGTCACACCAACAGCCACAGCAGGCTACACAGCCCTCAACCATCAGGCCTCCTTCACTTGGGGACAGAAATGGCCTGAGCAAATCCTTTGAACTGTAACATTTAATTTGTCTGTGATTTTGAAAACTGGTGGCAGTTTATGACCAAAGAATAAAAATGTGAAAATAAGGTTTCTTCTTGTCAGGCATTGATAGATCTGGTCAACTAACCTGCCCAGTGTCACACGGCTGCTAAATTATACAGGTGGGATTAAAACTGTATCTACGTAATTTCTTTTTTTTTTTTTTTTCTAATCAGTACCAGGGATCAAACTCATGACCATGTGCTTGTAAGGCAGGCACTTATGCCATTGAGCTAAATCCCCAGCCCCACACTGTATCTATGTAATTTCAAACCCTGTAACTTTTACCTTTAACAATTTGTTTTTTAAGCCAGGATCTTGCTTTGTATACAAATGCAGGCTGGACATAAACCATGTAGCCTGGGCTGGCCTCAAACTCATATTGACCCTCCTGTCTCAGCCTCCCAAGTGCTGGGATTATAGATTTATACTACCACGGCTGGCTAAGCAATTCTGCCTGGAATCTCTGTAAAAATGTATTTATGATAACACGTATATAAAATGATGTAAAATAATACATTGTACTATATGTAATACAGTACTGTAACAACAGAGGAAATTAAAACAACCTATCCTAGCCTTCTGTACTGAAATTAAAGTGTCTTCAGACAATATTAGCAACAAGCCTATGGCTGTGAATTAAAGCAAGAAACAAGAAATGTATGTGAAACCTGTCTTTGACCCAGTCAATTGAATAAATGCTGCCCTCTTAATACTGTTATTTGAACGTTAAATCTCTTAGCAGAGATGGTGCTTTGAATGCTTTGTGAGTAGTTCAATTGTTCAGATTGTACTCCTCCTCGTGAGTGGACTATTACATGCAAAACACTGACCTAATGCTTGCTGCATGGTTAGAAGGTGCTTTGGGTGCAATAAAGACGAGACATGATCCTTAAAAAATTGTATGCATTTTCTTGCAGAAAAACATGGGCATATACCCTCACAGGGGCACAGATAAAGAAGTGGTTTGCCTTCACAGATAAGGATGTCTCGAGCAAAGGGAGCATTAGGAAATCTATTTTAATATAGTTCAGTCAGAAGAATGCCAGGGCTTGAGTGAGGTCAGAGGCACTGAAGATGGGGCGATCAGAGCTACTGGGAGAGAGAGCAATTCCAAATGACGCCCAAGGCACCACGCATAGCATTTTCTTTTTCAACAGATTTTCCCTAGGTAGTTGAATTTCCCAGGCTGGGCTCCAATTTTGTCCTACCTCAGCATCCTGGAGTACACTGCCATCCCTGGCTATGCCCAGTGTTTGGCTTTGGTTAGCCGCACAGCAGAACCATTCACCCAAGTTGTAACTTCACAAGAAGACTTGGAGGCAGAGAATATTACTGTGCCTGCCCTGCCCTGTCCCTGGATTTCCTCCCTGTGGGCTGCAGCTGAGCTGGGGCTGTGTTCCTGGACCTAAGGGCCAGCATTTGTGGAGCCTGGGGAGGAAACAGCTCCCCGTGTCACTAGGCCCTAAGAGCTTCCCAGCTTGACCTGAATTCCACCCACATCTTTTTTTGCTTGTTCGGTTTTTTGGTACCGGGAATTGAACTCATGACTTTTGTGTTTGTTAAGCAGGTACTTAGGCTGCTGAGCTAAACCCCCAGCCCTCCACCCACATCTTTCTCATCCCACTCTCCCCTCTTTGTCCCTACTGGAGTGTGCCACATTATTTCCTCCCAGGACCTTAACACATCATATTTGTATTTTATTTTATTTTATTTTATTTTATTTTACTTGTCTTTAGGCAGGGTTTCACTATGCAGTTCAGGCTAGCCTCAAACTGGCCGCAATCCTCCTGCTGGGATGACAGCCCAGCATATTTGTGTATTTTTATAAGGTATGAATGGGTACGAGTGTTCACTCTTTTCTTTGTTTACGTGAGTTATAGAAGTATTTGTACATATGCATGTATAATTGTTTGTATATGCACAGGAAACATGTGAAAAGATACCTGTATAGGGGATAGGATAGTGAAAGACAAGAAAAAAATTGGGCTTTTATGTTTACACTGCTTTAATTCCTTAAAACAATACTTTTATTATTTAATCTTCTTTATTTATTGTGATACTAGGGATTGAGCAGCTCCAGATTTTTTTTTTTTTTGTACCAGGAATTGAACTTAGGACCTTGCACTTGCCAGGTAGGCACTGTGCTGCTAAGCTATATCCCTGGCCCCCAGATCATTTTTTATTTTGAGACAGGTTCTTGTCTAATTGCCCAAGGTGGGATCAAATTTAAAACCCTCCTGCTTCAGCCTCCCAGAGTGCTGGGATTATAGGCATGTGCCACCATACCCTGTTCTATAAAGATATCAAAACTGGACATGGCAGCACATGACTGTAATTCTAGCACTCTGGGATGCAGAGACAGGAGGATCATTAGTTCAAGATCAGTCGGGTTACATAATGATTTCAGTTGGAATGACATGGCAAGACTCTTCCTCAAAAAACCCAAAAAACAAAAAAAGTAGATCAAGGATATCAATAAGCTCTAGGTAAGAAGTCCAGCAAACTCACTGACAGTTAAGATGAAACCTCTGTTTATTCCCCTAATCTCTCGGTCAGCAAGATGACAAAACAGAAACCCTAGGGAATAGGGGCTTAGCTCAGTTGCACAACTGCCTGCCTGACAAGCTCAAGGTTGTAAGTTTGATCCCCCCTACCAAAACAAAAAGACAGAACCCTAAACTTTAAAAAAAAATTTAATGTTAAATACATATTGGTAGAAATGATTAAGCTCTCCTCAGACAATGGCATCCAAAGCATCTCTCCAGGCTCATGGCTCCCAGCCCTTCCCTCCAGGCTGTCGGGGCAACTGGAGACCCACCAAGCCTGCGGACTCCTCCACTGACCGCTCGCCCTTGCCGTGAAACTCCTGGTGCAGGGCCAGGTGTGCTCGGACACTGCGCAGGAGGCACAAGTAGGCGGCTGCCTGGAAATGCAGTTCATGTTGGGCTCTGCACAGCTTCTCACTGGTGACCTGGGAAAGCAGCAAGGACACCCCGTCAGTGCCCTAGCCATAGACACGGGCCCACAAAGACTCACTCATTTATTTTGAAGAGGCATAAAGGGATTTATCAGGCAGAATTTTTAAAATATACATGCCAAGAAGTAAGAGTGTGTCCTCAAAAGACAGAGGCGTGTTATTTCCTGGAACTGGGCACATCTGTGCTACTTGTGAAGGGGTAGAAACCAAGGAAAAGGCCACTGACCCCGCAGCCGGGCATGGCACCATTCATAGGTATGAGCCTAGCTTTGTTTTTGATTTTAAGACGGACAATTGAAGCATTCTTTGTATTCTCTCAACCTGTTCCTTACTCTTCTCAATAAACCAATGTATGGCTCTGGAATAGAGAGGCATAAATGAACCCAGGAACACTAATACAGATCACCTTGGCTCACACTTCACCTGTGTCCTGGCAGTGGTAGTCTTAAAAGTAGTGTTTGGTTTTAACAGTCCCTGTTTGCTTTCTACCTGTATTTCTTCTATCCTGGCTCATCCACATACCTTTCCATAAACCTACTTATGAAAGGTGTGGCTTAGTGGCTACTCCAAACAGCGGTTGTAGCTGCATCAACTTATACACATTAATATTATTTTATTTATTTTGTACTGGGAATCAAACTCAGAACCTCACGCTTGCCAGAGAGATGCTTGTGCCACTGAGCTGTATCTCCAGCCCTATTGTATAGAAAATATAAACACGTGCATATTTCATTTATAAAGGTATCTAATCATTTATTAGGGAAGTTGACGTCTAGTTAATAAAAGAGTTTTATGTTTTAATGCTAGGGTTTGAACCCAACCCCCGTGCTTGCTAAGAGATATACTGAACTACAGCCTCAGTCTCAAATTGAGACTGACCTCCCAGAGTGCTAGAATTACAGTCATGTGCTGCCATGTCCAGTTTTGATCTCTTTATAGAACTGGGTGTGGTGGCACTTGCCTATAATCCCAGCACTCTGGGAGGATGAAGCAGGAGGGTTTTTGATTCCCACCTTGGGCAATTAGACAAGAACCTGTCTCAATTTTTACCTTTTCTCATGATACTTGGGACTGAACCCTAAGCCTTCACCCTACACTACATCCTCAGCTGTTTTTCAATCTTTAAATTTTGAGACAGGGTGTCAATAAACTGCTAAACTGCCCAGGCTGGGCTCCAATCTGCCACCCTCCAGGTTCAGTCTTCCAGAGTGCTAGGAGTGTAGGGGCGCACCACTATACCCAATTTTTGCTTTTGTTTTTTTGACATGGGGCTCTTGCTGTTACCTATGCTGGCACTTAACTCCTAGACCCATGGAATCCTCTTGCCTTCGGTTCTTGAGTAGCTAAGACAACAGAAGCACTGCATCTGGTCTAGGAAAGAGAATTTTTTGAGACAGGGTTTCTTTTTGTAGTTCAAGCTCGTGTTGAATTCCAAGTAATCCTCCTGCTTCAGGCTCCTGAGAGCTGGAGTTATAGGCATGCACCACTACATCCAGCTAAAGAGAATTTTTAGGGGCCGGGGATACAGCTCAGCAGCACAGCACCTGCCTGTCAAGTACAAGGTCATGAGTTTGATCCCCAGTACTCCCTCCCCTAATTTAAGAAGTATTTAATTAACTCTCTAAATTTTAATACTACATGTCCTCTAGTTTTGATACTTTTATATATATATATATATATATATATATATATATATATATATATTTTTTTTTTTAGCAAGGATTGAACTCACAACCTTGCGCTTGCCAGGCAGGCACCTATGTGCTGAGTTAATCCCCAACCTCAACACTTTCATTTACAATCAGAAAACTAAATCTCAATAGTTAATAGTAGAGATGAGAACATTAGCAGGTCACTTATCATTAATGTCACCTGAGAAGTATAACACAGAACTTTCTCCCCTTCCAATATTAAGGGGAAAGGTTAGGCATGGTGGCCTACCCCTCTTATTCTAGCATTCAGAAGGCTAAGGCAGGAGAATCCTTGTAAGTTTGAGACCATCCTGGGCAACACAGTGAGCTCAAGGCCAGCCTGAACTACATAGCTAGACTTTGTTTTAAAAAAATAAATAGAATTGGGCTGGGGATTTAGCTCAGCGGCATTAGTACCGCCTTGCAAGCAGGCGGTCGTGAGTTCGATCTCCGGTACCGATTAAAATTAAGAGTGATTTATTTTGTTTCTGACTTGGTTAATGTGGCATATACCTTTCATTTCAAAATTTAAAAATTTCTGTGGTACTGGGAATAGAACCCAGGACTTTATCAATAGCTCTCCCAAGAAGCTTATTTTATCTGAAAAATAATACTTTTATCCTCAATAACAAAATGGGGAAAAAGTGAAGGTTTTATATATAAAATAATATGCATATTCATATTACTTAAATTTGCTCTCAACAATTTATTCCTCTGAAAAGTTTGCATCCTAACAATTTATTAAAAAACTGGACATCAGATCCATTCCAAAGCCCCTGATGATGAAATCTTGATTTGCTTTCATCACATTTAGCTTTGAGATTAACTGTGATACACTGTGCTTTACTTAAATAGTTTTGAGTGCAGAGGTTGTTAGAAGGGGGTCTAGAAGCAATGGGGGTATACGCGTATGTAGAGGCAGGGGTCTGTGGATGACAAATTAGCTAAGCCTGAGTAGGAGCTAAAAACAAAGTCTACTAGAGGGATTCCCCTGGGAAGCAGATCAAAGACAGGAGTAGAGGAAGAAGCAGGAAGAGAAGGAAGGAGAGAAGAAGCAGAAAAAGAAAGAAGGAAGAAGGAAGGAGGAGGAAGGAGGAGGAGGAAAGACAGATAAAGAAATGGCCTTGGGACTTGCACCAAGAGACCAGAGAAAGAGCTACCAGGTGGGACAGAGAGAAGCCATGTGCGCAATTGACGAGCGGCCTCCACCTCCCAGAAAACACAGGGGAAACGGAGAGCGGGGCTAACTGTATTAAAGAAGGATGTACTCACACCTGTGCACCAACATCTACACTATACACATGTGTTCACACTAATCACTGCATCACTCCCTCTAGGGTCATTGCAGTGTACAACAGATACCCACACAGGCACCTACTAACTCAAAGCTAACCAAAAACAAGGCACCCACCCCAAAGATAAGGCCTTGGGAGGCAGGGCAAGGACAAGCAGACAGACAGAAACAAGCTGCACATAGACCAGTGGAAGAAATCAAATTAGGCCAAAGTGTAGCAAGCCAATTCCGTTAAGGCATGTTCTAGGTGGTGGGGTTTCCTTACATCCCTATAAAAGCAGCTGAGAACAAAGAACTAGCTATCTTCTCCTTTCCCTTCCTTTTTACAAATAGATTTAACTTTGTTCCTCTAATTTTTTATTGGAAATGAGTTAGCATCCCAATCCCCATGGGCTCTGAAAGCAGAAGAGTGGTGCTCCCCCCCCACATGATATGTCAGTTCTGACTTTGTGAGGAAGTGTTAGGAACAGTGGGGATCTGTGCATGAACCAGAGACATGAATTAGTCCCATTGTCTTTTTTGTTTGAATGAGTTAGAATACAAAAACTATAATATGTGCTTTCATATGTGAAGTTGGCCCTTATTAGCTGCTCTAAAAAGTTGCTTAAGACAGGACCCAGTTGCACTTTTTCCCAATTGCATTTTATTCTTCAGAGTTAGACCAAGTTCCTGGCGAAGTCTGTAACACTGTGACCTTTTAAAAACTAAATGAATTTGAATTCTACACTCTAAGACATGGCCACAACTTCTCCCAAGTCAAACCCTAACTGTGAACACAGCAATGAAGTACACAGACTTATTTTGGCATCAAATAACCTAAATTCCAGTTGTTCTGTTGTTTTCTTCTTTAAACAGGATTTCCCTCTGCTGCTAGTTTGCACCAGCTGGGCCAGAAATTGCCACAGCCTCTCAAAATGCTGATATTACAAAGATTCCTGCACTAGTCTTACAGGTAACTACCTCCTTATCCTAGAGCCTCAGCTGCCGCATTTCAAAATTGAAACTCTTACCAGTGCGGTGGGGCACATCTGTAATCCCAGCACTGGGGAGACCGAGGCAGGTAGATGGTTGCCAGTTCAAGGTCAAGCTGGGCTACATAGTGAGTTCAAGGCCATCCTGAACTACATAGTGAGACTCTATATTTAAAAAAAAAAAAAAATCCAGGGGTTGGGGATTTAGCTCAGCGGCATAAGCGCCTGCCTTGCAAGCGTGCATTTGTGAGTTCCATCCCCGGTACCAAAATATATAAATAATAAATGAAAACTCTTCCACTTGCCTAGGCAGGCCTGCGATATACTCGTATTTATCTGCCACAGAAGTAAAAATCCTATTTAGTATCACAGCAAGCTAATATGTTAAGTGATACAAGCCTCTGACAGTGCTAAGAACTATAACATAAGTAAATGTTCCTATTCTTCAAGAAGCTTTCAACATCCATTTACCTCGTTACACTCTCCCGCCTCAAATGCTGCTTCTCAGATTACTTCTAGGGCAAGCAACAATAACCCTTCAACATTTTTGTGTCTGCGCAACACAGACATATTTGGCAGTAATAGAAATGGAGCCCAGAGTCTGAGCATTCTAGGCAGAGTCTGAGCATTCTAGGCAAACGCTGTAACCCAGAGCTTCACCGCACTTCCCCTCCTGCCTTTCAAAAAAAAAAAAAAAAAATGTGTTTTGTTTCAACACCAGGTTTCGCTAAGGTGCTCAGAGACTGTCCTCTAATTTCCAATCTTCCTGCCTCAGCCTCCCGAGTAGCCGGGATTTCAAGGCCCACGCCCCTTCCGTTTCCCTCGGACTCACTTCCCTTGAAGGCCCCGCCTCTCAACAACAACTAGCCAATGAAACGCTCCAAGGCGCCCCCCGCACCCCTCCCCAGCCAAAGCAAGTCCCCAGGGCCATGCTGCCGCCTGTCCTTCATTAGTCCCGGTCCTTGGCCGGAGCTTGATTCACAGTTCCGGCGGTGGGGGCCGGCTCGGTAAAGGGTAGGCCTCCGACGCTGCCCCAGGATTCTGCTCTTTGCCCCACCCAGCCCCCTGTTCCTCCCCTCCGGGAATGCGGCGCTCCTAGGGAGCCTTCCGTACCCGATGAGCACGGAAAGCCTTCATGAGGTACCGATAGGCCGGGGTGTCGCGATAGGGTCGCCCGGTGGCCGCGTTCAGGTAGCGCAACTCCCGCAGAAGACCTCGCAAGGTGCGCGCCGGGGACCCTAAAACCGCCATTTTCCTCTTCCGGAGCCTGGCGCCTCGAGGCGCCCGCGCCTCTAACGCCCTCTGTCTTCACCAGACGCGTCCTAGTGCGATCGGACCCAGGTTCCTGACTCCCCCTCCATTGGCCAGGAGCGGGATGCGCACTTCCTGAATTGGCGCAGCCTCAGGAATCGAACGCCGAGCGCGCCCCGATAAGGGAAGTAGAGGAAAGCCGAGTGTAGCCAGGGGCGCAAAGAAGTACGGGAGATCCAAGACGCCGTTACTGTCTAGTCGAGAGACACGGGCCTGCGGAAATCGCCGTGATTCGGTAATCACGCTGCGAAGATAGTTTAAAACTACTTCTAGAAAGGCTGCCAAAATCTAACACATTGACCGACTTTCCAAACCCTGGTGGACCCGGCGGCTGGGAGGAAACAAGAGGGTTCTGGTTCGCGCAGACGGCAGCCCGACATATAGTAAAACCACAATGCACTCTTCTCGTTTAAAAAAGTAAAGTAGGTGACACTAGGGTACAACGGTTTACGAAAGAAACTTTTTAGAGTTAAAAAATACTGCCACCCCAGATGGGACTCGAACCCACAATCCCTGGCTTAGGAGGCCAATGCCTTATCCATTAGGCCACTGGGGCTTCTGCAAGTGATCTGCTCAAGTAACATATTCAGCTTTTTCTTCCTGGTGCGTCATCGGCTTTTAAGCTTTTTATCCTATCCTAGGAAACCACACCTAACACCGGTACGACGAGCAGGCATGCTGGGAGTCGTAGTTTAGAATTCGAAAGCCCGTGTTCCAGCACTGAGCGCTTTTATTCTGCGAATGGGATCGCTGTACCGGACGCTGAGCGAGGGCATTCACGCCTTTTCGTGCGCCTGTGCCATAGCCCCGAGGCGCGTGCGCGGTGTCGCGGAGCCACGAAGTGGACAGGCCCTCGAGAGTTATCCTCTGAGTTTCTGTTCGATGAGGTTTTTTTTCTGGAAACAGCCTGGCCTTTTCCGGTGTGGTGACCTTCCCGGCTTAGTTTCGCTCCCACCGGCCAATAGGTGGCGTTGTCAGCGATTAGTTTCTGTTTCCGGTGGAAGCGCAGAGGCGGTTTCCGCGGAGTCCGAGGTCTCAGAAGCGCACGCTTTGCGCACGATCGGCGGGTTAGCTATGAACTTGGGACTACAGGGAACTGTAATTAATTCATTAGGAATTAGACTGAATTCATTTTGTGGTTCTTTACCTTATTGCATATGTGAACAAAAGTGATTTGTTCGCCTCAGCAAACCTCTCCCTTTGCTTACATTCTCTCAGTGATCTCATTGCCCTAAGGTGAGATTCCACCAACTTGACATAGTGGATCCGCGAAAATTGACCTTCCCTTCTTTTTTGAGATAGGGTCTTGCTGTGTAGCGCAGACTGGCTTTAAACTCCAAGTGATCCTCCTCCCTCAGCCTTGCAAAGTGCTGGGATTACAGGCAGGTGCCACCCTGCTTTGTTTGACCCTTTATCCCTCATCGTTTATTTCTTGTCATTTTCTGCCCCATACCCCCCAAAAATCTCTTTATTCCCCACCATAGCATGGTTGTTACTCTACTTACAATGTCACCGTTTGTGTTAATGTCCCCGTTTTCTCTCTGCACTTTGACTTGTTTCAGAAGTCCAGGTTAAGTGTTGTTCTAGTCCCTGTGGACAGTGTGACAAGGCTAAAATGACTAAGCTCATCTCTTCTGGTCACTTCCTTCCCTGTATTTACTCTGCACACACAGCTCATCGTCCCCAACTGTTTTCTGTTTCCTTATCTTACTGGGATTCTACTCATAACCAGAGTCTGTTCTTCAATTGACTCCCCAGAAAGACAATCAGGACAAATGACTCTGAGGCCCTGTGACAACCTGACATAAACTACTGCGCAGGAAAAAGAAATACCAGTAGAACATGAATGGAGGCCTGGTGATGGGAGGTCACCTGCCTACTGCCTGGAAGCAAATGCTTACCTGATTGTTGAGAGACTAAATTTTCATGAAAAAAAAAAAAAAAAAAAAAAAAAACTGGAAACTCTGAGGAGGAGGAGGCTTGGGGAGAATGTTGGTTTTTTTTTTTTTTTTTTTTTTTTTTTCTTGTTCTGTTTTGTTTTGAGGAAGGGAATCACTATGTAATTGAGCCTGAACTCATTATGTAGCCCAGGCTAAGCCTGAACTCACAATGATCCTGGGAGCCTCAGCCTCCCAGGTGTCAGGCTTACAAGTGTGTGCCACTATACCTGACTCTTTAATTCTAAGCATAATCCTCAGCCTTACCCTAATGCTAGTTATATCCCTAGTAATAGATCTGGACATAATCCCAATTCTAAACCTAACCCTGACTCTAGCCTTAGCCCTAATTTTACTTCAAGCATTAACCCCAGCCCAAACTCTCACCCTGAATTTAACCCTAAACCTAGCCCTGGTCTTACCCTAACCTGAACTTTAACCCCACCCCAAAACCTGGCCCAACCCTAACATTATCACTTTCCATAGGCCAACACACCTAGCCCTAAATCTCAGCCTATACCTATCACCCTTGCCATAACCCTCACCCTAAACACTAACCAAAACACTAAGCCTAACTCTACTCTTAGACCTAGATCTAGTCCTAGCAGTAACCTAAAGCATAGCACTACCCCTAACCTTAAGACTAACCCTAGTTTTTGTTTTGACCATAAACCTAACTGTATCCTGAACACTAACAGTAGACCCATCCCTAGACCTATCCCTAACCTTAAGGCTGGAGCTAGGGCTAGGGTGAGAGTTAGGCTTAGTGTTAGGGTTCCACTATGTTTAGGTTTAGGGGTGGACTAGAACTGGGTGTAGGGCTAGGGTTAGGGTTAGAGTATAAACTCAAAACACTACATCAAAAATCAAGCTGGGTGGAATGGTACACAACTGTAGTCCCAGTATGTAGGTGGATGAAGTAGTAACAACCCCATTGCTAATTTGAGGTCAGCCTGGGGTACAGAGTAGGTTCAAGGTGTAATTGAACTACATAGTGAAATCTTTTTTTTTTTTTAATTTTTTTGTCTTTTTCCTTTTTATCGGTACTGGGGATCGAACTCACGACTGCCTGCTTCCAAGGCAGGCGCTTATGCCACTGAGCTCAACCTCCAGCCCCAACATAATGAAATCTTGTGTCAAGTAAATAAATAACCTCATTGTTGCTGGGTACATATGTGGTTCCAGTTTGGCCACAATTTCTGAGATGTTTTCAGATAAATTGTGAATTCAGATTTTTAAAAATCAAATGTTTTACATTTAATTGCTAACAATTTGGATTTTTACTCATAAAGGTTGCAACACTTCCATGTCTTAGCCATATTACAAATTGCACAATTATGAAGCTAGTATTTGGCCCTGGGTCATATAACTCCGAACCTTATTAAAGTTTTTAAAAACTAACTGGGCTTGGTGGCCCAAGTCTGTGAACACAAGCCTCAGGAGGCTGAAGCAGGAGGATCCCCCATAAGTTCAAGGCTAACTTGGGTTACATAGCTAGATCCTGTTTTGAAAAACCAACAAGAAAAAGTGTTTATAGCAGGAAAGACATTTTATTAAAAGCATGCTTTCCACTTAAGAGACTGATGTAGGAGGATCGTTGCAAGTTGCAGGCCAGCCTAAACTGCATAGCTAGACCCTATCTCAAAAAGACAAAAAGATAAGGGCTGGAGATTTAACTCAGTGGCATAAGCGCCTGCCTTGCAAGCAGGCAGTTGTGAGTTCGATCCCTGGTACTGATAAAAAAGATAAAAGGATGCTGGGTGCCCCACAGAATTCTCTAGAAGAGTGCGTGACCAGGTTTGGCAATTATACATGTTGAGAGCCTTACCCAGAATCCTTTGCAGATCTGGTCCCCAGATGCAGTTACCACAGCATGTAGGGCTGATACAGTGCCACTGCCAGCGATCAAACTGCCACTCAGGACCCTGGCATGAACCAGCTGCTCTCTGCTCCATCCGTGCTCATGAGTGTCTTAGTTACTTTTCTCACTACTGAGACAAAATACCCAACACCCAAAATTAAAGGAGAAAGGGTTATTTAGGTCACAGTTTGTAGAGGTTTCAGTTCATCATCAGCTGGTTCCACGGCAGGGTGGCATGGCAGACAAGACTCACAGAAGAGAAACAATTCATAGCAGGCAAAAGGAAGCAAGAGGCAAATACAAGGCTCTTCCTGTCCTGGGTATTATATCCAGGCTACTGAGATTAAGGCAGTGCCAATCCAGTCAGTGGACTGATTTAGTAATCACCCACCCTTAATCCCATCATGCTTGATCCTAGCATTGCACCATAACTCAATCCCAGTGTCACACACTCCAAATCCAGCTACCTTTGAAAAAGCCCCACCATGACCACATGAGGCTTTGGGGGTGAAGCAGGAGGGGCAGCAGTCCTGGAGCTATGGCTACCAGGATGGGTTGTTAGAGACTAGCTTCAGAGTGAGCAGAGCATCCAGGAGGAACCAAACCCAGTGTTATCTACCACCATCCACCCACCCCACCACCATCTGCTCCAGGAGCCTCTAAATCCTGTCCCAGACCTCAGTGCACCCTGCCAGGCTCCAGCATTGTTCAGGGGAGGTGACTGCAAGACCCATCGTACTCAGTGACCGTCCCGACTGCCAAGGGAAAGGGTGGAAGGTATTCCTTTCACAACCTGTTTGACAGGCATGAGGGCAAGTCTTTAGAGGCTCTGGGAGAACATCTAGACACAACCATGACAGTTGGTGGAAGTAAGCCATTAACTGCAAGTCACATTTGGGGTAGGGTATTCCGAATGTCCTGGTCTGGGTCAGAGGCTTCAGGGCAGCCAGAAAGGTGAAAATCTATCATGCTATGAATTTTATTGAGCACCTCATGTGACTCAGGCCCTTGTCCTGATGCTAGGGAGATAAAAACCAGAATACTAGTTTAAGCTGCCTAGACTCTTGGGGCTTCCATTCCAGAGCAAGGAGCCAGTTAACAATCCTGTAGTGAACAGAACACAGCCTGGTAAACATTGGTTTTTGCTAGGGAGAAAAAGAGCAAAGCCAAGGTTGGACTGGCCTGAGATGCTTTGTGAGCCATGAAATGCCCCTATTTTATTGACTGATTGATACAGGGTCTTGCTATGTATCCCAGACGGGTCT